AAGATAATATAATAATATATAATCATTATAAATTGTTTCTTCTTTTTCTCCATATCTCATTCTTTGATGAAGCTTTAATAAAAGTGGAATATGTTACATTGAGAAACGTTTACTATTTGTTCTTTATATATATATATATATATATATATATATATATATATATATATATATATGTGTGTGTGTGTGTGTATATATATTGAAGACAAAGATATTTTATATATATATGTGTATATATATATATATATATATATATATATTGAAGACAAAGATATTTTACATATATATATGTATATATATATATATATATATATATATATATATATAAAGACAAAGATATTTTTATATATATATATATATATATATATATATATATATATATATATATATATATATATATGTGTGTGTGTGTGTGTGTGTGTATGTATGTACATTTTAGTCACCCTGTGGAAAAAATGAAGCTTTAATAAAAGTTAAATATGTTAGATTGAGAAACGTTTACTATTTGTTCTTTTTATATATATATATATATATATATATATATATATATATATATATATATATATATAGATAGATAGATTAGTCGCCCTGTGGAAAAAAAAATAGTTTCGGGAAATTACAAAATTTTTGCCTAACAAATAATAATAAAATGACATCAATGCGGGAATCAACATTCCTTTTGTTGCCTTACCCTCATCCTTTTCCCTCATATGGGCGTGTCTTTCCCTCTGGTCAGACTACGCTAAACATAAACAAGGAGGTGTGTTTCTGAAAAATCATTTTCACTTTGTCTCATGATAGCATTTACTTATCTCTCTCTGGAATTTTACAAATTCTGCAATCGACTCATTAGGACGCAAAATTATTTCTAGGAATGAGTCAAACTGAGAAAATTCCAGCACACCATAATATATATATATATAACCTATTTTATACGTCATTTGAACGCTCCTAAATAATATCAAGACGTGATCCTTAAATCAAATCTGGGTGACTTGACCCCGATGACACCATGTGACATTGTCCCGACATCATATATTACTCGAACAGATGTTTGGACAAATAAGGTCGTTGTTCCGTCGCAGGTCGTCCCGGCAGATGTCTAAACGCCAATCCACCAAAGTGACACTGTCTTTTTTTCTTACTGAAAGTCAAATCAACCGTCTTTTTATCAAGAGAAATGCGTTCTTGTAGTAATAATTAGCAAAGCGCATGACATGTATTCGCTACTTTTATTGCTCCGCGTAGGCAAATTTTGTCGACTACTTGTCCGTGATGGAGAGGGGAAAGGTCAGTGAGATGACTTTCCTATTTCATCCTTTTACTATCAAACCAAAATTCACTTTGACAAATTTTGGAGAGAGAAACCTTTTTCTTACCAGGAAATCGCGGATTCTCGTTAGTAGCTGATTAGACAATTCACGGACCAATGAAAGACCATATGGTACATATTTTTCTTTTTTTCTTGTGGAACTTGTGATCATCAACAGATTATTTCACGAGTACGATATATTTCCAACGACCTGTGTGAGCTTTGTATTTGTTTGTGGGTCTTTTATTTACTAATACTTACCCTTAAGTATTTCTCCGTTAATTTTCACGCACATGAAATAATCTGACGTTTTTAGGGACACATGGAGTTTATGAATGGGAGGAAATGGTTACGAAACAGTATAATGTAGCGGTTACTGGTTAAATAACTTATTTCAGCAAACAAATCCAGGTCTAGGAGAGGTTAATTTTTTATTCTATTTAGAGAATCAGCATCGCACTTCGTTTGAAACCTTGGGGTTTAATGTAATAGTTTTACCAAAAATGTGATGCCTACTTTTTCCTAATCTTTGAAATGTCAGATGAAAAATGTCCGCAAATACATATTTTCCGTAGATTTTTGCTCGCAAACTGTTGTATCGTCGGGGTAAATGATACACAGAGAAGGATGAGTGTTTATTCATATTTAATATATTTATTCATCACCAGTATCCTGTGCTAACGGATACATGTAAAAAAACAAAACAAAACACAGAACAATAAGTTGCAAAACAATTAACAAGACAACTTACAAGGAATATAGGAGGGTCAAATGCTGTATAGCCAAAGTAAGATCAGTCCGAATATTTATCATCTAAGTATCAACTTACTAATCAACTTATTAATCAACTGTTTTGGATCCCGGGTTGAAATCCAGTACCAATAAATAACAAACGTGTTGAGATGTTGAGTGTTTCCCCGTGCGTGTATTGAAATAAGGACAAACACATACGTAGGGAAAAATACTGGTATATCTGAAGAGGTATTTACAACAGAGAGATTAGTAGTCAAACGAACGCAGGTTAGTCAGTAACAATCAGAAAGAGTATAAAGTCCAACTGTATCTTCCGGTAGAGAGACGGAAGTGTGATGGTCACCTGATCTCCTAGAACTCTCTAGAACTGTCCTATTAGTAGTAGAGAGATCAGTCCATTCTGATGAGAAGGTGGGTGGCCCCAACAAAATGCCAGGAATGAATATATGAAAATAATGTATTAACGTAATAATACAAACTGGTAAAGCATGTTAGTAGATCCAAGAATGCGGGTTAGTAGCAAAATATATATACAGTCTGTTGGTATTGAAGTATCGTTGTATGACTTCTTACTGAGTCTACGTGCTCGCTCACTGTGACTCCTACAACGCTGTTACCTCACCCTCACCCTCACGCTTCCGGTTACGTCCAACCTTTTACTCTGTCACTCTGGACTCGATTCGACGGTCTTGCTCTGTTCTGGTCTTCACGTAGCCGTAGTATATGTATATACTGGGTGAGTCCATTTGTGTAAAAAGGGGTGGACCCCTCAACATCAACTGTTGAAGTCCTTAATCGTAGACTATTTAAGGCTATGAGACCAGGCCATCTGGTAGAGTGCTGAAGAGGGTGCTAGCTACTCTACAAAACAAACTAACTTTAAAATTTTATTATTTCAAGAATAAATCCAAGTAAAGTTGGCATTTTTGTATTAAGTACATTGAATGGCAAATATATTAAAACCAGAATTCTAATTATGAATCACTAAAGGCCAAATATTCAATTTTCCACTGTATTCGATGTGTAAAAACTGCGTAAAACTGTGAACTATTACGAAAATGGCTAATCAATGAATAGGATTTGGTAGATCGTTTATAGATCATAATTATTAAAAACAAAAAAAGATAAAAGTGTATATAACATCATAATACTACTGGACACACATTATAAGACAAAATGTTTTAGATTTGCATTGTTTAAACTAAAACTACTCCACTGTATAATATATTATCATAGAGCTAAATTGTTCAGTATAATTTCGTGTTGAAGCCAATGAAGGTCTTATTTGATGGCAAAATGACTTAGTAACAATGTGCATGTGTCAGCCATCTTGTCTATATACAATTTGTAAAGGTTCAGAAAGTTATAAATTTTATAAAGCTGTATCTGTCTATATTTCTGAGATGAGGTATTATGTACATTATTTAAATTATTCGGACTATTGTCCTCATCTTTGTCGCCATACTTATTACAACGTTTCGGCCGTTGTACGCTCCGGCCTTCTTCGGGTGGTTAGAATGTCGAACTGAACCCTTTATTTCGCTCACTGGGGTAGCCTGTTCTCAAAGAGTGTGAGTTCAATATCCGGTTAAGGCAGTGGAGAACTTTCAGAGGGAAAATTAACAGGAGATAACTGATAACACATCCATTAAACATGGCACGTGGAACTAGAACAGTCTACCCCAGTGAGCGAAATAAAGGGTTCAGTTTGATATTCCAACCACCTGAAGAAGGCCGAATCGTACAACGGCCGAACCGTTGTAATAAATATGGCGACAAAGATGAGGATGATAGTCCGAATAATGTAAATAATGTTTATAAAGCTGTGTTATAAGGTTTTCACTGATAACAGGAATGAAATTTCCACGCTATGATTTTGAACCAAAAAATAATCTTCAAAATGCTTCCCACAGAAAACCGTAAAGACATGAAAAATAAAAATAAATGTGTTGTTATTTATCACGTCAATTCACAATCTCTGGGTGATTAGCTTTAATTGTTTTGTCTGCGTCTATTATAAAGTCCCATAAATCCGTAGCAGCACATATGTCGTGCTTGGCGCGCCAAATTCGTTCAGAAATAAAACAATCTGCCAGCTGTATACAGCCGCTTTATAAGATCAATGATTAAAAAATGTCTACGCTGGAACGAAGCCTGTAGATCTTAGCATGGAAAAGCCTTCATCGAACTTTGGTACTACAGAATCACCAAAAAAAAAAAAAAATCTGCACCAAATGATAGAAACAGCATTATTTGAGGACTTTCAAAAGCAGCAACTTAGCACATGCAAATCTAAGAAGAAACAATGACATAACCAATATGTTAAGGTTTCACAAAATGTCATAGCAAAAAAAAAAAAAAAAAAAAAAAAAAGGAAGAAAACCAGAAACCACTACTGGAAAGAACCATAATAGCTACTAGACTTGAGAAATCTATTTATGACCGAAACCACACCCCTTAAGGACTTTCAACAGCAGCAACAACTAAAATGGATGGCGCATATAACTTGAAGTGAGAAAAATGACGTAGAAAACAGGCTAACTCCCAAAGCAAAAGACAATAAAGAGCGATAACAGTTACCGGATTTGAGAAACCTATTTGCCTGAAAAGCAGTTTTCAAGAGAAGATCTTATGAATTTCAACCAACTGTCGTACTGGTGACTCGGTCAATGAAGGCTAAATGTTTCCTTATAAAGAAACGGCTATCATTACCATTATCAATTATGAACGTCTAGTATCGTATAACGAAGACTGATATGGTGCACAGGATTGTTTGCTGCAGTTAATGTGCAGACGGGTGTGTGTGTGAGAAGGAATGACATGTTACCTTGGACGACACATTTCCAGGCACAATGAGAAAGATATTTACAGCTCAGGTTAAAGACACGAACCGGTATCACTTTCTTGTATTACATGAAGATGCGCTTAAATGTTGACATTAAAAATGACAAGCTGTCCCATCGTATTGGAATGAAAATAAATGTTGACTTGGACAGATAGATATGAGACAATTGGGATAGACAGGCAGGCAGACAGACAGACAGATAGATAGATAGATAGATAGATAGATAGATAGATAGATAGATTTGGCAAAAGACATAGCTAGATAGATAGATAGATTTGGTAAAAGACCTAGACAGTTAGAGTTGGCAAAAGACCTTGATAAATAAGCAGATAGATAGATAGATAGATAGATAGATAGATAGATAGATAGGAATAGGAAGAGATAGATAGGAATAGGAAGAGATAGATAGATAGATAGATAGATAGATAGATAGATAGATAGATAGATAGACAGACAGATAGATTTGGTAAAAGACCTAGACAGAGTTGGAAAAAGACCTAGATAGTTAGATAGATAGATAATTAGATAGATAGCTAGATAGATAGATAGATAGACAGATAGGAATAGGAAGCGATAGATAGATAGATAGATAGATAGATAGATTTGGTAAAAGACCTAGACAGTTAGAGTTGGCAAAAGACATAGATAGATAGATAGAATTGGTAAAAGACCTAGACAGTTAGAATTTGGCAAAAGACCGAGATAGATAGATAAATAGATAAAAAATGAACAGACTGTGATAGATAGATAGATTAGGTTAGGTTGATTCGTAAGTATTTTCCGTTTTAGGGAACCATTTGTAATGACGAATGTATCTACTTAACTACTAATCATATGTGGCAATTATGAATAAATCTGGAGTACAAGTAATCTTCATAACGAACCCTAAAAAGAAAATAATGTTACGTCTGCAGTAAGATGGACAGGATATTATTCTTATAGTTCTTAAAACACTAAATGTCCATTTATACATTCAGTAGCTGCAACGTGTCCATAAAATGTTTAGTTATCAATAACCCAGCGATCGTCAGGAGAAAAAAAAATTGTTCTCTTGCTTGACAACGCAAAACCTCATACACATAATAATATGCCTAGGAATAATTTCGGGTCTCGTTTGGTTTTTATCTGACCATGTATCAACCATTGATTACCTTTTGTTGACTGCAAAACGCTTTCATGTGGAAAGATTTCTCTAATGAAAGCCACATTAAAGAATTCATACAAATCTTATTCAGGTGGAAACTTCGGAATTTCACTCAAAGCGTGTTTAAGAGGGGAAATTTATACAGTATCTATCTCTGTCTGTTCATATCTATCTATCTATCTATCTATCTATCTATCTATCTATCTATCTATCTATCTGTTGCTTCAAGTCTCTTCTTCATGTTTGAGAAGATTGTTCAGCACTTACTGCCATACAAAAGAACAGATATCACGTAACAGTTTAGTACTCTTTCCCTTGTTTCTAGCGAATTTTTTCTATTTCTTTGTACTCTGCTTAGCTTTTGTAAGGCATCTTTGGTTTTAGGGGTTTGAAATTCGAATACATCGACTGGATCCCACCAAAAATGCAAAATCGTATTTCAAAAATTTGTTTCCATTTTAATTTCAATACGATCATACCCTCTTTTTATCTATATATCTTCGCCCATGTAAGTAATATTTCAATATTTTGCATTCGCTTATTAATACTTTCAAACTTGAATCTTTGTGGGTTTGTCTATGTATATGACAATTTATTTATTAATATATGTGTGTATGATTGCCTATATATGCCTTTCATTGTATGTATATGTGTCTGATATTATTTTCCCTCTTTTTTGGGTCGTGGACATCTATTTCCTGTTTCGTCCGTGTTTTTTGCGTGTATATATATCTAAACATTTCTATGCGTTTGTATATTATAATATGATTGTGTATGTATTGCGATATGCAAAATTTTTTCCCTACCCATATCATCCTTTCAAATATATCTAAGTTGTAATGATGTTTGAATCTCCTTAGATTAGCGTTTGCTCTAAGTAAGATTTTTGCTTTTCGATTAAAACAAAATAAATATTAAATAATAATAATATTTTTCCTCAGTTCCTTCTTTAAATAATTTTATATCTTAAACATAATACAGGTTAAATTTAAAATTGGTAATTTTTATTTTCAATTTTATAGCAAAATTTAAAATTATTCAGAATGATTTCTATTTTAGTCTAACCCTAACGTTAAGGCATTAATTATTATAACCAAGGTTCGTTGTCAAGTTTTTTGCATTCTCATATACAGGGTGTTTCAAAAAATTTGATATCATTTCGCAATCTAATAACTTTGTTAGATCTTCTTCAAATGACTTCAAATTTTAATAGCATCTTTATGTTTAATGTTTGTTTTATGTTTTATGTCTTTATGTTTTGTGTTTTTTCTTATTTGTATTTTTATGTTCTTTAATCTTTTTCTTTCCAGGTATAAAAATGGCGTGTCTCAGGCGGTGCGCATATTGAACATTTGTGAAATCGTTCACATAATCCACATGCTTTTGAATTTCTCATTCAGATTTGGAAGAATAAATCTTATCTTCAACATTAATACTTTTTAATTTCATTTGCCTTAATCATGTACTTTCTGTGATATTTACATCTCAAAGGATATCAAATTTTTTAAAACACCCTGTACTTGTATTTTGATTGGTCATTGTAGCTTATGTAACAGCGTTTCCCTTATCGAAGGGTGTTTGGTTGATTTGAACCTTTTAAAACTTTATTCTACATTCAACAACATTACTTGACAAGACACCAGAAGTGTTGAAACGAAATGGGTATTTTTGTAGTGATGTTATAACATGTTAATGTTATAATTTTGAATAAATAAAAAATTATATATATATATATATATATATATATATATATATATATATATATATATATATATATATATATAGTTAACAAAATTTGACTGGTATATGTTAAAAGCAAGTCTTGACAGTTTTGTTAAATAAAAAATACAAAAGACAGACATAGAAATATTGACTTTAATTATAAATCTCTTTGTCTATCTCGGGTGAAAGAATTTTAGATGCCTCTTTTCACAATGATCGTGTTATGACATTACCTGATGTCTGGTGCAATTAGGAATTGTGTACATACATACATACATACATACATACATACATATTTTGATTTACACAAGAAATCACATGAGTACATGAATAAATAAACAACTTTACGGAGCGTCTATATTGTTTACACAGAGTACCGACTCCATTTTTCTATATTTCTCTCTCTCCTTCTCTTAAATATTCTAGCCGAATTCTAAGTTCTTTTCTTTTGCTATATTGTGACCATGTGTTGCAGAAAAAAATCAATTGAAAGAATAACGATGCAAGGCAGGAATTGTTGGAAAGATGTTTATTTCTGCGACGCTGGGAAACAATATTTTCTTTCAAGCCGTCTTTTTATCGCCTCTCTTCCCGCTTCGTTCCCCCACTATCATTCGCTTTCCTCCCCGAGTATTTTTGGCCCGCCGCCTTAAATAGATCCTGCTACTCTTTAACAATATCACGTGACGTGTTGATGGGTTCAGTTCACGCGAACCGAACGCCGGCTGAAACGAGAGTCAGAACTAAGAGGCCGTCGTCCACGTTCGTATTCGGCTTCTATCTTGCCCCCCCCCCACCACTGGAAACAATAAATAAATAAATATAAATGCAAGAAAAACACGTGGACGTACCAAAATATTCCACCAATCCGGATTTGTTTTCTGATATCGTGTTACTTTTGTGGTGAATAGAGAGAAGATCTTTGGCGACGAGAACTGTTGGAGTTCAGTGTTGACGTATAAACCTCTGATCTCTGGAAGAACCGAAAATATCCCCATATTTTTCATTATTGTTACACAGCTATTTCTGATTGCTTTCCGTATTGGTGTTTGGCGATCAATTATACATTTTTCGATTTATGTGGTGCTAGCCAAAATGTACTGGGAATGTGTATTACAGACTTTTGGTTCTACTCCCTTGAGTAGTTCTCAATGTCAGACAGTTCTCAAAGAGAAAGCAAAGAACAATTTCGAAGGAGACGATGGAAACTAGATATTAGGGTTAGATTATATTTATGATCATTTCTCAAATTGCTGCGTGGAATTTCAATTTTAAAAAATATTGAATTTTTTAAGAATAGAATTCTATAATTTTAGCCCCAGCGAAGCTAGTTCTGATCTTATTTCGTGCAGCGTTTTTAGTAACCATTGTTGTCGTCTGTCATTTCACATTGCTAAAAGTCTGTCGAGATACGACAAAAACTAAATTTGATAGAAATATCTAAATAAGTCAGAATAATCTATTTAATCAGATATTCTTATAACTGTAGCGAACTTTTTGAGCAAGTGTAAAAATAGTAAGTTTGCTGAATTAATTATTCTTCAAATTTTTGCGTGGAATTTCATGCATATTTTATGAATTTGCCTACTGCTATATTTCTTCAATGTGTCTCCTATCTTATTCCAGTAGAAAAACGTAGATTGTCTTGTTACATAAAGAATTCATTATCAGCCTTTTATATAAATTACTAACAAATCACATTTACGTCTTAATTGGTAATATTTAAATTGCATAACAATTTTAAAAGCACATTTTACTAAATAATTCAAGCGTGTTATTTATTTTTAGTTTAAGTACAAAAATTGCCATTTATAAACATAGTTTCTTTCTTTAAATAACATAACCATTCTTGCTCTACAAAAAAGTATTTATATCTGTGTTGTCAAAATTTATCAGAGAACTTATACGTGTTTACAAGTGCAAAAAACGTAAAATAAATTTAATCTTAGATTTTAAAAGCAGACATAATTAAATGAATAAAGAATTTTAAAAAAATATTGAATTTTTTAAAAATAGAATTCTATAATTTTAGCCCCAGCGAAGTTAGTTATGATCTTATTTCGTGCAGCGATTGTAGTAACAATTGTTGCCGTCTGCCATTTCATATTACTAAAAGGCAGACGAGATGCGACAAAAACTAAATTTGATAGAAATATCTAAATAAGTCTGAATAATCTATTTAATCAGATATTCTTATAACTGTAGCGAATTTTTTAAGCAAGTGTAAAATAGTAAGTTTGCTGAATTAATTAGTAGTAGTATTGTTAATGTAGACATTAGAAAATTATTTTATTATTTTTCTCAAGGTCAGCTGTATATAACTATGTCCAGAGAAAGAAATCTAAGTGAACTTAAGATAATGACACAAAGAACATTAGAAAACAGAGGTCTTTTTAAAGATGTTCTTTATACAAAGGTTTTATAAAGTTAAAAGAATTTCAAAAGAGTTATTCTCCGTAGGGTGGGTATTTATCACTCTGTACCTTTGTTTAAAAAGAGTTGCCGGCAGCATAAGAGATATTGACTCGAAATATTCAAACTCAGCACCACAATTTGTCTTTCTTCTGGTATGTTCACTATCGCACTAATCCTATTTAGAAGAGTATGAATACATATTTTTTTCCTTGCAATTCTTCGATAAATGCCTGAGTAAACTAGGCCCACTGGCTCACTGTATGGTAGTCAGTATGTAGAAGGCAACGACAAATCGTTTCACGGTTTTTGCCAAGAAGATAATTAAAATACTTAGGCGATCATGTATCTTTCGATACATGACTGACGAGACAGATTTTTTTCCCGCAGTAGGTTGCCATTTCTTTCTGCGGTAGACCAGTTGCCATCCAAAGCTATAGAACCTGGTCTGTCCTGCTATTTACTTATGGGTATATGAAGAAGAGGATTCATGCCTTTCCCAATGGTATTAGCACGTAA